TCGTCCACGGTGAAAGCCGATCCACAGCGCAAAGTTGATGTATTTCCTCAGAGACCAGCATGGATCAGCTCTAGGCATGACGAAGCGGATATCGTCCTCATTTGGAAGGCCAAACAAAGTAGTTTCGCTTTCACAATGAAACACACAGCATCTCCACAACATGGCAGCGGCGGCAACAATACTACAGCGAGAATCAAAGTTACGCCTTCTTTCTTTGTGTGAACATTTGGGCGGCGTTATGCAAATCTTCCCACATCGTGACGTAGACATGTGGGGGCGTGTTAGAACGAGCCGTATTAGGAGGGTGTGGTTGACTCTTAACTTTTATAAAGAATATCTCTTTGGATTTGAGACTTTAGTCTTTGCAACTTTACAGATCTTCTTTATGCACCAAGAGCTTGTAACACTCCAAAGAGAAAGGAAAAATTAAAATCGCATCATATGACCCCTTTAATACTAGACATGCTAATAAGCAACTTGTTAATAGTGAGAATTAATCCCTAAACTAAAGTGTTAGGCCTCTTATTTTCAAACCTAGGTTGAGGGCTTCAAAGTCATGGTATATAGCGTACCAGTCACAAGGGCTAATTTTATGTACATTTTGAATCTTGACAGCCCCTATTAACAGATTCATTGTATAGAAAAGAGAAGCACTAACATTCTACAAAATACCTTTGTGTTACATGGAACTCGAGTCCTACAGAAGCACATGCGGGTGTGTAAATGACAGAATCGTATTTTTTGGTGAACTATTTATTTTTTAATTAGGCTATCACAACAGAAGATGCCTTAAAGGGAGGTCCCCAAACATTTTTTAATGCTGTGATCAATTACTCACCCTCATGTCGTTTGACTGTATGACATTCTTTCTTGTGTGGAATACAATAGAAGACATTATGAAGAACATTAGTACTCACTCAAGTAAAGACTCAAACCTTTCTCAAAATATTATAAGTTCCACAAAAGAAAGACATACAGAAAATAATACAGGTATGGAATGACATGAGGATGAGTAAATGATGACAGAACTATTTCTTTAAATATGCACTCATTATGTTTTTGTTTATATTTTGTTTATACCATGGAAGCCCAAATTGCACAGTTAATTTAGTGCAATTTGGATATATATATATATACAGTCACAGTGTGAGATATAAAATGACATTATGAGAAATTAAGAGTAAACTTAGTACTGACAGTACTTAGTACTGAATCTGGACCATTTTAAGCATTCTTGAGAATAATGTTTAATAGATTACCTGTGTCTAATTTAATTGTTTAACTGTTTCTTGTGTCTTAATTAAAATGTGGACTTATAAAACCTTAATTTGAAAAAAAATGAGTGAAGTGCACTTTTATTAAAAACAACACTAAAATATGCTCATAAATACATGGTTGGGTAAACTCCTTACCTGGTAAGGAGAGGTTGAGCTGGATGTTCTGATCTCCATCCTGTTTGTTCTGGCCCAGAATCATCCAGTTCTCCAGCCCATCTGAGTCCGAATTCAGATCCTCCACAAAAGGAGGTGCAGATTCAGAAGAGCTGTCGTCTGAATCAGAATCCAACACAACAACATCATCTGGGGAGCTCCTTCTTGCTTGAACTTGTGGTAGAGAGGGTGAAAGCAAGCTATGGGTCTGCAACTTCCTGTTCCAGCATTTTGATGATTGACCCTTTTTAGTACAGACGCTGTCATCTTCCTCAGAGCTGTCTGACACTGTGATAGCATCTGTGCCAGAGTCAATCACAATAACATCTACAGGTAGAGCACGAGGCAAGGATTTCTGCTGTGTTTGAGTCCGTGGTACTGATGACTGGACCTCTCTCGGGTCCTCCCGGTCCTCCTGGATCTCAGCGCTGTAGTGCAGCTGGGAATAAAGCCGGAACTCCAGTTCACTGTCAGCGTCAGACAAACTCGAGTCTGCATCATCCTGGTACAACTCGTCCTCGTAGTCATCCCGCTCCTGATACCCTGAGAACATCTCAAGGAGAGCCCTAAACAGAGAGCAGCCCAGTCGTAAACATCATCATGAGTCATCATTCAGAGGCCATAAAGGTTTATTTTCAGTGTATCACCTCTGTACAGGATCCAAACAAACAAGCAAACAAAAACTTTTTTTTATTATTATTTATTTATTTATTTATTTATTTTACAAAACAAAAATCAAGTAACACTTTACAATAAGATTTCATTTGTTAATGGTTAGCTACATTTGCAACAAACTAATACTGAAAAATACTTCTAAAGCATTTACTAATAATTTAGTATTATATTATTAAAATGAAAAGTTGTACCTACTAATGTTATTTAATGGACCTCAGCTAACAATGGACAGCTGTATTTTTATTAATTAACAACGATTAATAAATACTGTAACAAATGTATTGTTCATTGTTAGTTAATGTTACTTAACAGATTAAATATAGTCAACAAATGGAACATTATTGTAAAGTGTTAACCAAAACCCATACAAAACAAACAAGTTTAATTAATAAGAGATATAATATGCAATAATAATGGAAAATTAAACAGCTCGAATTTTACTCCATGGCAACTTCAGACACATTTATAAACAACTTCTTTAGGTGAACATTATTTGAATATTATTAATTATCATTTTGATCAACAGAACTAAAACACATGCTGTGTGAGACAACTGCATAGTTTGCAGTAAACACTGCAATATTCATTTGTCATTAAATTATCTTATGTTATATATCACGTACAACACATATTGTGGGATGAAGAAGGCTTTCCCCAGAAGAAAAGACAATATTAATTTAATGTCCATTCTGACCCCTTCAACTTTATGATCAGTCAGTGCTCTAAACAGAGAGACTGGGGAGAACTTAAGATAGGATAACATGAAATCAGTATCAGGTAAATACATAAACAGTTCCTCAAACAGTCATACTTTTATTCAAACGCAGGACTTACATAGAGCCAAGAGATGACAATCTCTGTCCATATCCATAACGCAAAGTGCAATGACATGAACATAAAACAGCAGCTGTTTAGTTTTGGTCAAACTGTCAGTTTGTATCCTGAAGGATGACAATAAGGCCAGATCAATGTAACTTTCTATGTCTCAATTGTACATAAGGACACACAACACAGTACGTGTGGACTTTGTTTATATTTAGCCTGTTTGAAAGCAGCACGTAAATCACAGAAAGATATTTCTGGTCAAATCCATAAAAACTTCCAAAGATTATGTACTCAACACATAAACAACACCACAGAACACAAGCCATGGATCCTATGCTTAAAACCTAAAGATTCCAGTAAAAACAAGAAACCTAGAGTATTCACAATGATAAATATCTGTATAAAACCTATGAGTAAATAAACCCCTTGTACTGTATCAGCCTAAAATCAATGAAGACCAACATTAGATAGCATATTTCTGATGAACATGTGTTAGCCTCAGTGCTAGCAAGTGCTACTCAATGACCCACGTGTGTTCACGTACACATGGACGACTGCTGAGGACGTATAACTAATAAACATGCACGACGGGGTTTTAAAACATTTGCAAGCTCAGCTTCACCATATGACACGTTTTACTGGGTTTGGTACGAAACTGAATAAAAATCTGACCTGTTTATAAATTCCGATTTGCAACACCCGCTTCCGACTCCTCAGGAAAATTAAATGGTTGGCCAACTAGACTTCATCCCTGGGAAAAAAGTGCTACATTTAGCACACGGAAGGAAGGTTAGTGACTGAGTCTGGGGATTGTTTTAACTGTTACCATGCTTGTTCATAGTGTGCATGAGAGAGGAATGGGAAATCTAGGAACTGTTCTCGCTTGAATTTTTTGTTTGTAGAAAGTTTAGAAGAAACATAGGGGAGCTAGGCATTAAACAGTGGTTCCTGAATTTATACCTTCAGGCCTGGGAAACGTAATCTTTACACCTTGTTCAGAAATAAAGAGTGTCTTTTGGGAGAGGCTGCACTTAATTTCATGATAAACACAATGATGATGAAGATGATGACAATAATAACAACAACAACAACAATAAAAACAATAACAATAATGTTTTGTTTTGCCCACACATAATATGATAAACAGTAGCATTGCCTCATTGGCTGCAAAAATAAATATATAAATAATAAATATCTATAATAAAGATATATATAAATGTATTTATATATTTATTTTTGCAGCCAATTTATGAGCCAGAATTTTCTTGCCATTTTGCAATGAATATATATGTGTGTGTGTGTGTGTGTGTGTGTGTGTGTATACTTGTTTATGCTACATTGTGGGGACCAAATGTCCCCACAAGGATAGTAAAACCTGACATTTTGACAAAAAAATATTAAAAATAGTAAATTATGTTTATCTGAAAGTGTAATAATGCAAACAGGTTTTCTGTAAGGGGTAGGTTTAGGGTTAGGGGATAAAAATATTGTTTGGTCAGTATAAAAGTAATAGAAGTCTATGGAAAGTTCCCACAATTCACAGAAACAAGTGTGTGTGTGTATGAAGAGTTAAGATGAAAAAGCCTCTAAGTGCCGTCAAAAACGGTCCTCTAAAATTAGCATTTGTATCAGGCTCCTGTGTTTATGTTCAGTTATTTCACTTTAATGGCAATGAAAAGAACCTATTCATTGGCATTAAAGTGAAATTACTGAACCTACACACAGGAGCCTGATAAAAAATGCTAATTTTTAGCATTTTACACATACTGGTCGATTAACCATTGCAGAAACATGAAATAATATTTTGGTAATAACCCATACTGTTTTTGAAGTTTATGGCAGCTGTGGCACAAATATTACATTGGGTTGGGTTATGTTTATTTATATACACGCACTTTTTTATTTATTTTTGAAAGCAAGCTATGAAGCAATGTTATTGTCAACATATATGTTTATAATATTCGTTATATATATTTAAGACAATTTTATTTCTACCAAATAGTTATGCAAGACATAAGCTGGCATTTCAAGATGTTGGCCTTTTATGAGATGTGAACTTCTTGCTATCTTTATTGCTGTGATAGAAATACCATGCTAAATGTTCTTTTATCGGTTGCTATATTTGGCCTCTTCTGAGGTCCACATTTACATATCTTAACAGGCAGCATATCTGTCAGAAACATATCTAAATATAAATCACACATTCATATTTTTTATATTTTCTTTCTTTCTTTCCTTCCTTCCTTCCTTCTTTCTTTCTTTCTTTCTTTCTTGTGAAATCACAGCCTATCATCTCCAGCGCCTATGACATGAACAGAGCATGCGACTGATGTGGGAATCATGGTGTGAATGCCATCTGATTCTGAAGACGTCTCCATGCGTGTCAGTGTCAGAAAAGGCCATCAAAGCAGTGGATTGTTTTCTTTCAAAAGGTTACATTTCCTAAATGAAGCCAAAAGCCCACCACATATACCATATTTTAGGAGAAAGCAGTAGAAATAGTGATTGCAGCTAGAGAACAGAATGCCTGGCTGCTCCACAGAAATTGCCATATTGGACATATTTGTTGATCGTTATTACTATTATTGTCTAGTAATAGTAAAAGGAAAACGGGCAGCGTTTGTTCGTCGGTTAATCTGCACAAATTCAAACCAGTCGGGTGTTGAAGATGGAGTCACCAGCGAGGATGCAGGCTTTCCCATTCCAATATCTGATTCCACATGGCTGTTCTGCATGAGAAAGATTTTCATTTAGGAAATGAAGCCAAATGGCCACCTTCACCAACCCCTGCATTTATATCGCTGATGTCTCCACAGCCTGCACCTTCAGTGTGTTATTCAAGTGTAACATTGACCCATACTGTGCTATGATCAATATTTGAGCATACAATTATCATGGCATTGAAAGTTATAAGTCTATTTGGGTGCTAAATACAAACATAATAGCTTTATTACTGTATGAGAAACAAACTATAGATATCTGAAGATTTTATGATGAAAACAATCACAGCACAAGAGTATAGAAAATATGAAGTTATACATGAATACTAAATAATGGGTTAATATTAAATGTAAAAAAAAAGGTTGTCCATTGCGCTCTCTCTCTCTCTCTCTCTCTCTCTCTCTCTCTCTCTCTCTCTCTCTCTCTCTCTCTCTCTCTCTCTCTCATCTTTGTGCAGATTTAATATCCAGAGCCTTTGGTTCTGACAATTTATTATACAGACTGATGTCATTTGTCTGTTTGATTGTGTTCCCTTTTGAGGGTCCACTTAGAACAGTGGTTCCCAACCCTGGTCCTGGAGGCACCTCAACACTGCACATTTTGCATATCTCCTTTCTCTGACACACCAATTTCAGATTTTGGAGTCTCTACTAATGAGCCGATGACCTGAATCAGGTGTGTTTGATTAAGGATACATGCAAAATGTGCAGTGTTGGGGTGCCTCCAGGACCAGGGTTGGGAACAACTGACTTAGAATATCAAGGCACAGTTTGACCCCAGCATGTCGCTACACGTCACACGATCTGGAACAAAACATTCAGTGAAGAAACCCATGTCCTCTTTGTGTGGTCTGGTGTTGTGCCAAGTGTTGACAGGTTTAGAACTGGCACTATTTCCTGCTGATGTGTGTGTGTGTGTGTGTGTGTGTGTGTGTATACTTGTTTATGCTACATTGTGGGGACCAAATGTCCCCACAAGGATAGTAAAACCTGACATTTTGACAAAAAAATATTAAAAATAGTAAATTATGTTTATCTGAAAGTGTAATAATGCAAACAGGTTTTCTGTAAGGGGTAGGTTTAGGGTTAGGGGATAAAAAATATTGTTTGGTCAGTATAAAAGTAATAGAAGTCTATGGAAAGTTCCCACAATTCACAGAAACAAGTGTGTGTGTGTATGAAGAGTTAAGATGAAAAAGCCTCTAAGTGCCGTCAAAAACGGTCCTCTAAAATTAGCATTTGTATCAGGCTCCTGTGTTTATGTTCAGTTATTTCACTTTAATGGCAATGAAAAGAACCTATTCATTGGCATTAAAGTGAAATTACTGAACCTACACACAGGAGCCTGATAAAAATGCTCATTTTTAGCATTTTACACATACTGGTCGATTAACCATTGCAGAAACATGAAATAATATTTTGATAATAACCCATACTGTTTTTGAAGTTTATGGCAGCTGTGGCACAAATATTACATTGGGTTGGGTTATGTTTATTTATATACACGCACTTTTTTATTTATTTTTGAAAGCAAGCTATGAAGCAATGTTATTGTCAACATATATGTTTATAATATTCGTTATATATATTTAAGACAATTGTATTTCTACCAAATAGTTATGCAAGACATAAGCTGGCATTTCAAGATGTTGGCCTTTTATGAGATGTGAACTTCTTGCTATCTTTATTGCTGTGATAGAAATACCATGCTAAATGTTCTTTTATCGGTTGCTATATTTGGCCTCTTCTGAGGTCCACATTTACATATCTTAACAGGCAGCATATCTGTCAGAAACATATCTAAATATAAATCACACATTCATATTTTTTATATTTTCTTTCTTTCTTTCCTTCCTTCTTTCCTTCTTTCTTTCTTTCTTTCTTTCTTGTGAAATCACAGCCTATCATCTCCAGCGCCTATGACATGAACAGAGCATGCGACTGATGTGGGAATCATGGTGTGAATGCCATCTGATTCTGAAGACGTCTCCATGCGTGTCAGTGTCAGAAAAGGCCATCAAAGCAGTGGATTGTTTTCTTTCAAAAGGTTACATTTCCTAAATGAAGCCAAAAGCCCACCACATATACCATATTTTAGGAGAAAGCAGTAGAAATAGTGATTGCAGCTAGAGAACAGAATGCCTGGCTGCTCCACAGAAATTGCCATATTGGACATATTTGTTGATCGTTATTACTATTATTGTCTAGTAATAGTAAAAGGAAAACGGGCAGCGTTTGTTCGTCGGTTAATCTGCACAAATTCAAACCAGTCGGGTGTTGAAGATGGAGTCACCAGCGAGGATGCAGGCTTTCCCATTCCAATATCTGATTCCACATGGCTGTTCTGCATGAGAAAGATTTTCATTTAGGAAATGAAGCCAAATGGCCACCTTCACCAACCCCTGCATTTATATCGCTGATGTCTCCACAGCCTGCACCTTCAGTGTGTTATTCAAGTGTAACATTGACCCATACTGTGCTATGATCAATATTTGAGCATACAATTATCATGGCATTGAAAGTTATAAGTCTATTTGGGTGCTAAATACAAACATAATAGCTTTATTACTGTATGAGAAACAAACTATAGATATCTGAAGATTTTATGATGAAAACAATCACAGCACAAGAGTATAGAAAATATGAAGTTATACATGAATACTAAATAATGGGTTAATATTAAATGTAAAAAAAAAGGTTGTCCATTGCGCTCTCTCTCTCTCTCTCTCTCTCTCTCTCTCTCTCTCTCTCTCTCTCTCTCTCTCTCTCATCTTTGTGCAGATTTAATATCCAGAGCCTTTGGTTCTGACAATTTATTATACAGACTGATGTCATTTGTCTGTTTGATTGTGTTCCCTTTTGAGGGTCCACTTAGAACAGTGGTTCCCAACCCTGGTCCTGGAGGCACCTCAACACTGCACATTTTGCATATCTCCTTTCTCTGACACACCAATTTCAGATTTTGGAGTCTCTACTAATGAGCCGATGACCTGAATCAGGTGTGTTTGATTAAGGATACATGCAAAATGTGCAGTGTTGGGGTGCCTCCAGGACCAGGGTTGGGAACAACTGACTTAGAATATCAAGGCACAGTTTGACCCCAGCATGTCGCTACACGTCACACGATCTGGAACAAAACATTCAGTGAAGAAACCCATGTCCTCTTTGTGTGGTCTGGTGTTGTGCCAAGTGTTGACAGGTTTAGAACTGGCACTATTTCCTGCTGAGGCTTGGGGTTCACTCATTCTGTAGACATTTTTCACACTTGTTATCAGGTTAATACTTAAAATACATCATTATAATAAATCACTCAATTAGATAATTACCCATTTAATACAGATTTTGGCGTAACACCAAAGGTCATGTTGCTGAAGAAAAACTATAGAAAAAATATTTACATTATTCTTTTCCTCTTGCTGACAATCAAAGAGAGCACCTCTGCAAAAGTTGTTAACACATGTTCATGTTTTAATAATAGGCTACTCTTTGGAAAAAAAGAAAAAGAAAAGGATACCCCATCAGTGTCATCTGGATTATAAACTAACAGAGCACTGGCGGTCTCTCTTTAAACATGAAAAACTGCATGTTAACAATTTTGAATTGTTAAATAAGCACAGGTGGAAAATTTGGGTTTCACAGATTTGACAGCACTGCAAAAAAAAATCTTTGTGAGGTAGTTATTATAACCAAGCTAATTCTGCTATGTCCGGTCCATTGGTACTAGATATACATATAAGATATGTAAATTAATTAATACCGAACGTTGCTAACCAAAATTGTCATATTTTGCCGAAATACTGTTACAGATGCTATACGTGGAGCCATAAAAGGAGATCTCTTTCGAAATATTCCTGTATTTATTTGTTTGTTTGACGACAGTGTTGTCCGTTGTTTCCACAGTAGAAACAATCATTTTAGTTCTGTGTATTTTGAGGAAAAAGTATTAAGTACTTTAAGTAAGTAGTACAACCAAAAAAGTATGTTTGGTATTTTTGAAAAGGATAAGGGAAAAGAAACATTCAAAAGTGTGCTTCTGCCATAAACATTGATGATCAGATGAGAGACAGACAGTCCGATAAGACCATTTTGAATTTGTTTTAGTGAGCTTGCGTGTAAAAAACAACAACATTCGTTTATTGGACTTCTATTCATAACACCATTCACAGAACAAATGAGTCGAATTAAAAATGGAGGCGTCATTAATGTTGTTGATGTTCTCTGTGTATTTGTTTACTTTTTGTTTTAATTGTCCGCTTAGACTCTCGCGTCTCGGTCAAAAGCGATTATTTCCGCTTCCAGCAGGGCAACAGCCAAAATTCCTCCTTACCAAAAACTCTCCGCGCTTTAATTACTTTATTAATTAAATTAAGAAGGAGGCTGAAACACCGCATTTTGTAATCCTATCACGTTAAGGCTGCATGTGTGGAGCAATGTTGCCAAACGAAATATCAACAGAGTCATGATGTAGCCTAGGCTATAAAAACCTTTGCAATTTCACACAACAACCCTATTGAGTTTTCTGTAAATAAATGTGTTACTTAAATTATTTTGTATTCATTTGCTTAAAGCACAAATATATTTCCAAACAAATTTTTAACTTTTTTATGGTTACAGAGCAATTCACTTCTAGTATAAATAGATTATGCCTTACAACTGTACCATGATCACCAAAAAATAAAAATAATAATAATAATAATAATAGGCATATTTTCTACAACTATTGCACTACAGTATAATAAACTGTGGGAACCTTTATACTGCCAAAAAATATAAGATTTGACATTTCTTGCCTTTATTCTTTTAATAATAATAGCAGCTTTACCAGGTACAGTGGTAACAAAAACTGTAGTAACAGCAATATTATTATTATCAATTTATTAATAATAATTAGGCTATTTTGTTAATAATAATAATGTTTTAATTTTACATTAAACAGGCCCACATGTAAAAAAAAAATATATATATATACAGTTCATATAAGCTATATAGCTACATTCTTATAGATTTTATTTCATTTTTGTCAAATAAGAGGCAGTGAAACGGCTCATCTTCACTGAACTAATAAATCAATTAGAATAAAATTCTAAAAAAGAACAATTGTGTCGCACTTGATGTTCTAAAAATTCTGCCTGTGGTTTGGCCATCGTGAAAAATAATTATTTTATTTTAAAGTCTATTATTAATTCCTTGGATGGATGCAAACAGAAGCCCTGTGGTCCCAAGTGTTAAAAGATGTGACAAGAAGGGAGAAAGAGGAAGAAAGAGTGGACGTTGATGTCAGTTTATGTAGGACACGTTTGGCCTTTGATCTTGGAGCGGAGAGTCGTGTGTAGCGATGCGGTTACATCGCTATAAAAACCTTTGCAATTTCACACAACAACCCTATTGAGTTTTCTGTAAATAAATGTGTTACTTAAATTATTTTGTATTCATTTGCTTAAAGCACAAATATATTTCCAAACAAATTTTTAACTTTTTTGTGGTTACAGAGCAATTCACTTCTAGTATAAATAGATTATGCCTTACAACTGTACCATGATCACCATATTTTCTGCAAAAAATAAAAATAATAATAATAATAGGCATATTTTCTACAACTATTGCACTACAGTATAATAAACTATGTGGGAACCTTTATACTGCCAAAAAATATAAGATTTTACATTTCTTGCCTTTATTCTTTTAATAATAATAGCAGCTTTACCAGGTACAGTGGTAACAAAAACTGTAGTAGCAGCAATATTATTATTATCAATTTATTAATAATAATTAGGCTATTTTGTTAATAATAATAATGTTTTAATTTTACATTAAACAGGCCCACATGTAAAAAAAAATAATATATATATACAGTTCATATAAGCTAGCTACATTCTTATAGATTTTATTTCATTTTTGTCAAATAAGAGGCAGTGAAACGGCTCATCTTCACTGAACTAATAAATCAATTAGAATAAAATTCTAAAAAAGAACAATTGTGTCGCACTTGATGTTCTAAAAATTCTGCCTGTGGTTTGGCCATCGTGAAAAATAATTCTTTTATTTTAAAGTCTATTATTAATTCCTTGGATGGATGCAAACAGAAGCCCTGTGGTCCCAAGTGTTAAAAGATGTGACAAGAAGGGAGAAAGAGGAAGAAAGAGTGGACGTTGATGTCAGTTATGTAGGACACGTTTGGCCTTTGATCTTGGAGCGGAGAGTCGTGTGTAGCGATGCGGTTACATAGCCTCAGGTCACCGTGACAACAGCCACCTGCACAGTAAACACTGGCGCTCATCTCCCGTCAGAGCTTTAGAAGGCCAAACTCACCTCAAAATACAGCCCCACTTTCTAATGATTTTATTTATCGCAAATGAATACAGACTTTCCGTCATGCGCGAAAAGTATTGTAATTAAATAACTGACCTCTGGGCCAAAATTATCTGAAACAAGCCACGGGCCACTCCGTATTAAATTAATAAGGTCTAAAGCTTCATTCATTATTCTGCCTTTAGCCCTCTATCAATGGAACATGGCTTTATGAGGCGCGATTAAATGAGCTACATCGGTTGTTTTCTGAGTAGAGGTCAGAGAGTGCCGAACGGCGCGTCTATCGCATTGTTCAACGCTCAATTGTGTCTGTGTCGCCCATGAACCTCGAGACCTCAAATGATCGCCTGTCATCATCCAGCGCGTGCATGCACGTGCATTGTCGGTGCTACGAAAAATATTCTGCAGAAGTCTTGTTAGATGCTTTAAAAAAAAAACGCAATGCAGCCAAAAAGTCTCACCATATTTATTTATTTTATTTGGTAACACTTTTCCCTGTACTATAAACATTATTAGACCTGCATTATTGTTTGACATGTCTAAATGTTCATGCATATGCATTTATAATAGACTATATATCCGAATTGATACTGTACGGTTTTTAAATAAAATATTGTAATAACTTAATATTTAAAGTTATTTAATAAACCCAAAATTAACTCGGCTACGATTCTTGCACATGCTTAAAATGATTTTGGTTAAATTGTATTTTAAGGTGTCCTTGCTACAGTGTAATTATACATTTAAGCACTGAGTAATATTAATTAACTACATGCACTTACTATATGGTTAGGGTTAGGATTAGGGTTTGGCTTAGGGTTACTTGCATGTAATTAGGCCTATGCATAATTTATTGTTATTATAATAGTAAGTACATGTAACATGCAACAAGGACACCTTAAAATAAAGTGTTACCATGATTTTTTTTTTTTACTAAATCTGTATTCTGTATTTCACTTATCTCCTGAACCTCAAATCCCTTGACGCACTTAAATTTGTCAGCATGAGAGAGAGAGACAGAGATAGAGGGAGCGAAAGTTTTGTTTGAAATGTGTTACCAACAAATTAACAGATATACGCGCCTACGCATAGACCCACTGTCCATATCTGAAGAGGGGAGCAGTTGTGTGTGTGTGTGTGTGTGAGTGAGTGAGTGAGTGAGTGAGTGAGTGAGTGAGAGAGAGATCGAGACGAAGAAAGAGAGAGAAAGAGGAAGAAAGAGGGCATGAGCGCGCGGCTCTTTCTTGACTTTGCCCCATAATCGTTTCACGCTTCCTTCAGAGTCTCTTTTCCACCTAAAACGTTTAGTCTCACTCCAGTGAACAATTGCAACGGCGCAACAGGGAGCGGAAGAGTCACATTATTTCAAACTACCATTCGTCAAAACCACTGTTACAAAAAAGAGCAGAGAGAACAGCAACAGAGGATATAGGAGAGGGAACTTTTTTTTGTTCTCACCCCCCACCCCCGCTCATCCCTCTGTCCAACCTCTAGCCACGGCATGGACTTGGACCAAAAGGGTCCATCTCTGCGCATCGGACGGTCGGGTAGGGCCTTGTTTCTCCATTTCATTTGAACTACTATTGTTTGTTCAAAGTTGTCTACAAATAAAACTGTCTCTCTTTTACAAAACTAAACTAACAAATACAGCATTTGTGCACTTACTACATGGGCTAATATGTCTTTTATAAAACTGCTTGGTTTTTGGATTGACCCTTATATTGATATGAATTTTGAAGGTTCATCTTGTCACACTTTTAACATCAAAAATCAAGAACAACACGGGCCTAGAAATTCTATAAGCTTACATTTTGGCCACACCTTTGCTGACTCTGTGATTTTGACAGCAACGTGCTTTTGAGCTTGAAGTGTGCTGGGTTTAGGCCTATTTGCCGGGACTATTACAGTCCAAAGGGACATAATCAAAATTCAAAACCGTCACACGAAATTTCAAAACTGAACTATACGTGAAACCAATTACATTTCCCGTCACACAATGAGGTTGTTGAAAGATGTATGCTCCAATGGAAAAGGGTTGAGCCCGAGTGTGAGTGGCTATACCTCAGATGTTTTCATTCAGGATCCAAAAGCATGAATTATGGCCGTTCATTCCATGGATTCAATAGCAAATAGTTCTGTGTTTTCATGAACGTTCGTCGTTCACGCGTCACATTTAGAGCTCCCAATGAAATGGCGCGTGCACTCGAGATTTATGCGTACATTCTGTCGGTGTTGGTGCTTGTTACTTTGCTAAACGTGAGATACACAAATCGCACAGTAGTCAAAATTAATTGTTGTCATCTAGAAATTGTATTGTGTTAGTATACATCTATAGATAAAGGGGACATGCATTACTTTTCTTCATAACATAATGAAAAATGAGACATGTTCTTAATTTGCTCTGTCAACTAAAGCGGGACCTAGACAAGTTTAAACTAGTTAAGGTGGTTATCTCACCTGGTTCAAAACGATACGCCTAGCTATCCTTGAAGACTATAAATAATATTATTATGCGACATTCTAGTAGCCTATATTTGGTTCTCGTGTTTTTTTTTATTTTTTTTTTTTATTGGCCTACTGTTATCCGTTTTTCATTTCTGTGTCATAAATACATATTTGATAGATAGGCCACTGCCTATCACTGAAGGAATACGCCTAAGCTTAAACATCTGATAGTCTTGCAGTCCTTTGGTTTGAGGTTCTGTGTGTTTCACACAATTTGTAGAATTGATTTAACTTTCGATTGAACTAAAACACAATCTCCACTTCTCACGAATACAATATGAGAGTTTGTGTCAGCGACGTGATTCATTGCATATACGGCCAACATGGAGTGGACTGGCAACCATGCTTGGCTTTGACTCTGATACTTTGAAATATTCACAATTAGCCTATTATTAATAAATATTCAGATTTGTGCCGACTTCTGAACACTTTTATTGAAATGTTATATTTTTGTTTACTATTAATTATGTTTATTTTCTTAAGATTACCTACGTAAGTGATCTGAGTCCGACTCATTATTGCCTTATTAATGTTTTAAAATTTCCCTTCATTCATTCATTAATTCAAAGCGTTAAATAATTTAATAGATTATGTTGTTGATTTAACAAATGGTTTGAATGATAAACTTTTATTCAAAAAGAAAGCAATTTTATACATGATTTTAGTTGTTTTAGTTGGACTTGTTTGAATATTTAATTTGCTAAATATATGCAGAAAATTAATCTTGGGTAAACTCGCAAGCAAGAATTTTCCCAATAAGACAGAATATGTATTGAGTATTGAGAGCATCACGTGGGCCACAGATGGTATTTTTTGGGGGAAAAGGGGCAGACTAGATAAACTAAAATAATTAGGCTAAGATAATTTACTCGAAAATTTTAAATCGTTTAATCAGCCTAACGTTATAAACCATTATTGTTAATCTGGGGTCCGCGTTTGTCTCTCAACATAAGGAACAAAACAACACAACTAACAAATAAATGATTGAGAAATGTCAACTGAAAGCCTAGGCCTTCGAAAGAACATGGAAGTGTTCAACTTAATTGTTATTGTAAGTAAAATAACTTAATGATCCCCATATTTAAACATCTTATTAAATTTAAGACGGAATAGGCTGCAAAATATCTGCAAATAGCGCTATTATACATTTTAATATTGCAACACGTTTATCATTATATACTGTGATTTCACAAGTGTATAAGTGAGCACAAATGTGTATAATGACATGGGTACTACCACGTAAACATGGTTTATGAGGACACTTCCTATGTCCCCGTAAAACAAAAGGCTTAAAAAAACATACAAAACGGTGTTTTATGAAATTCAAAAATTGCCAGTAGTTAATTTCCTGTAAGGGGTAGGTTTAGGTGTAGGGTTGGTGTAGGGTTATAGAAAACACAGTTTGTACAGTATAAAAACCGTTACGCCTATGGAGAGTCCCTGTAAACCACAAATGCAAGTATGTAAGTGTGCGTGTGTGTGTGTGTGTGTGTGTGGCAAGCGGACGTGATCCAGCTTCTTCACACAAGACCAAAGGTTCGCCCCCTCGTGGCACTTATGGCGCACCGCGCGGGGATCTTTTCAAGCCTTACAGAACAAGACGAATATGTGTTTGAGCACATGCATTTTGAGCATGAGCCACAGGATTCCAGCGACTTAAAAGCTACCTAATTCTGACCACACAGGCAAATGCATTTAAGGCAGTTGTGTCTCTGTTCTTTAAGTGTAGGATAACACTGTGATTGATAACAGAAGATGCACGAAAACGTTCTCCAAAATGTCAATGAGTTAAGGTTTGCATTGAATCCAGGCAAAGAAACATCTCGGCATAATGTAATGCACTGAGAAACATTATGTAACATTTTTTTTTCGTTTTATGTTTTGATACAAAATGTTTGTTTTAGCAATGTACGTTTTTTGTTGCCTATATATAAGGATATAAATTAATAAACATATAATTGAAAAACCAACTACATGTGTTAAAAAATAAAATACTTCAAGTTAATTCATTCAGTAATTCAATCAATTTAATTCAAGTATGTTTTGTGTGCGTGTGTGTGTGTTCTTGCCTAGGTAAGTAAAACATTTTTTTTTATTAAAGACCACATTAATGTTGATAACCCGAATATTACGTTTTTAAAAATGCTTGTTATTTCTTGGTATTACACTGATCACCATGCTAGCCACCACAACAATTATAATCACCATCATTTAAAAAACACATCACAGTTACCAAGTCAACTAAACTAAACATGCCTAAATACCAAGTGCTTAATAATCTGTTGGAAGGCTAATAAAAACGTATTTAGCATGAAAATAGAGCAAAAGTCTGCGTGGAACAGCGCTCCTGTCCGTCAAACAATGTAGATAGGAAGAATCTTTTTTCGAAGGCGTATAAATAACAACGAATCATTTGGGCAACTTTAATGAATGCATAATCATTCAATTCGTTAATTAAGATTTACCAAACAATTTACCAAAACAAAAAAACTTGTTTGTGTTTTGAAGTCGTAATTGCACGTGCAAGTGCGATATTTATCATTTCTAATCATTTGCAAATACAATACTGTTTGAGAAACTGTTAATTTATTTTATATGCATTTTTTTGGTTTTATATGCACATGTAGCTCAGTGAAATGCCGCAACGTGCCAAGTGCCATAAGCAATATTTAAAAATGATTTTCAATGCATTTTATTGGCTTATTCATATAACTGAAAACATTCGGACGCAACACCTAATTATTAACTGCTTATTAATTGGATGACTGAAAAGAGTGCAAACGGACATTTGAAAATGTCAATTTTTCCCCCCTTCCTTAATTGAAATTAGACATGGGATCAGCGACACCACTGAACCAACTTCGTTTCAAGACTCCCTATTTGTCAGTGCACAACTGGGACAGCACGTCACTTTCATATTGGCTGAGTGTTAGCCAATCGGTGTCGTCTTTATCTGAGCGCGACTCAGGGCGATTGTGACGGCAGAGGTGCAGAGCCCGGATAGGTAGGCTGATCTTGATTGACAGTCGCGCTCGCGCTCGGTAGTAGATTCAGAGCGCTGCAGCTTTGGCGCTGTCCACACGAGAACAGGTTCTGAAACGCGCCGTGAGCTCGTGCAGTGTTTGCGAGGTAAGGACGGAGGCTCGAGCACTGCTTCTCGCCGCCGGAGCGCTCACACGGGAAGAACATCCGATGCGACGAGACAGACAAATGACACTACCGTATCAGCCATCTGAGACTTTCCGAGGATTTTTACGCACGTACTGAGTAGTGGTTCAAAACTTTCTTCTTCAGGACATTTCTTGGACATTTTTTTTCAAGTTCAAATTCTTCGCGCAATGGCTATTTTTCATTTTCTATTTAACTTTGGCAAACATTTTGATTCGGGGTTCATACCATGTACTTTTTAATCTCATATGTCCACGGTCGTATGTCTATTGTTTGGGGATCTTTGTACTGTCGGAGGTATCTGCATTTTTTTTCTTAAAACGAGAGTCTGAATGCGCGCTTTGGGCGATTAGAAGATCAAGATGCAAGGAAATCGCGTTTACGTGAAGATACGTTGAACATGAAGTAAATGCTTTGGTTTGTCAGAAACCTCACCAGGATTGTACAGATCCCTGCTAGAGACGCGCTCTGACAGTGCGAACCTCAGTCACAGTTCACAGGTCACGGTCAGTGGAGCGAGGATGTCAAGATAGAGCTTGGAAACGAGACTTCTACATTTTTATCTAAAGCTTAAGACTGTTCGGACTAATATTCAAACGTGTACATATCGCCAGGACTTTTCTTGAAATTGAGTTTTTATGAATCCCCACTGATGTCTGAGTTGGTTCACTCTGGATGTTGGCCCGCAGAAGCAGTTGTGTGCCCCTGCAGGGTTGTACCCTGACCGTCCATTTACATTTTTGTTGATTAATTAATGTTGAATCAGATAAACTGTTATTTATGAACGATCTCTTTTCCTTTACCCCGCGAGAATCACAAAAACTATTTACGTATATTCTTCTACTGTTGACCTTAGGCCTTAGGGTCTCCAGGTTCAATTGTTTATTTTCCAACCAAAGTTTCTGTGGACTTCCACACAGCTGAAACTGTTTAAGAGAAACATTTCCGAGCAGAACGGACAGAATACATACCTACAAACCTTTCAAAGAGCAAGAAAAGGACATTATAAGCTTTTCGGTGGTTTTCACGGGAAGGCCTGTTCTACTGACCGATGGAAATCCACTGCAAACACGACCCGTTCGCAGCCATGCACAGTAAGTTCACGGTTCTTTAAAAATCAATTTAGCTAGTTGACGCCATGACTTCATCACTTTGCTCAAGGGTATTCAAATAATAAACTGTAACTGAAAGACACATAAGGAGAAAAGAAAAGAAAAAAGGAAACTAAAACATTTATAGAAAGGAAAAAGAAAAGGAGGTCAAATGAAACAGAAAAGAAAATGCGTTTATAGAAATCTAACAGGTCAAACCTCTCACTAAAGGATTTTTTAAATATGAAAATGCTGGGTTTTTTCTGCATGTTGCCTTGAGAAAATGAAAAAGACATGTAGCTGGGTTTTAATTTTCTGTTAGCTGAACTTACGTATTTAGTGATGGGGACACAATACCAGTTAGGTCTGTTTAATATTGCCTTCTCGGATGTATTTAAGATCCATTACCCTGTAGCTTGGATTAACAGACACCCCCCAGTTCTTTTGTGTGTGTGTAAATGTGTGTTTGTGTGTTCCCTTCTGAAGCAATCAGTATGTTAATATGACAGATTGACTGGATTACCACGTAGACTTCCGCACTGAAATTATGATAAGATACTGAATTCTAATGAATATATACAGTACAAGAATGAAAGAAAATTGGTATCCAAAAGTCTAAGCCCACCAAGGAGGTCCATCCCACCACCCACTGTGCAAAATTGACACACAACAACAATTACAGACAGACAGACACAAATAGACAGACAGACAGAAATATTAACTTGGGTGAGGAGGTCATGTGCAGTTCTCTAGGTGACCACCAGGGGTGATATGATAAAGAGGAGAGGAAGAGACTGCATAATCATAACCTTCAGGTCAAAGACACACACACACACACACACGCACACGCACACACACACCAGGATGGGACAGCAACACTTTTTGCCCACCATGTGTCAGCTTCTGTATTTAAGGAAGATATGATTTGCTCAGTTTCCCTTTTATTACTGTTTGTGTCTGCAGGGCATGGAGGGGTGAATCAGCTGGGTGGGGTGTTTGTAAACGGGCGGCCCTTGCCTGACGTGGTGAGGCAGAGGATAGTAGAGTTGGCCCATCAGGGCGTACGTCCGTGTGACATCTCCCGCCAGCTCCGGGTCAGCCACGGCTGCGTCAGCAAGATACTGGGCAGGTGAGTTCTGCTTATTGTAAAGAAAAGTGAAGAAGCCTTTTGTGTTAACATCACTAGCAAAAAAGTACCAAAGTACAAAGTACTAATGTACTTTGCATGTAACGTAAGAACAGTGGTAATACCATGGTACATGCAGTATATAGTTACCATTTAGTACAACTATACGTTTTTGTGTGGTTTCTATTACTTCCATATACTCATGCTGTATATATTACATTTGAAACATTGAGAAGTACTGTACCGTTCAAAGGTTTTGGGTCAAAATTGATATTTGTATTTATTCAGGACAAATTAAATTGACAGTAAGTACCTTTATAATGTTACAAAAATTCAATTTCAAATAAATTCTATTCTATTGAACTTTTATTCATCAAAGAACGCTGAAAAAAAAGTTTTCACAAAATATTGAGCAGCACAACTGTTTTCAACATTGATAATACTAAGAAATTCAGCTTTGCCATCACAGGAAAAATATACATTTTAGAATATATAAAATGTTATATATATATATATACATTTAATAAAAAAAAATTGTAGTAATATTTCAAAATATTGGAGACTTCTTTGAAAAACATTAAAATGTTAGTGTAGCTGTTTTTTTAAAATTACTTTATGCAGCTCACTTCTCAAGCTGTAAACAAATAGATTAACATGAGCTGTGTATTATAATAAAGACTGAATGCGTCTTGCAGCTATTAGCGAACATGTTAGATATGCTGGACCTCTCATATCTCATTATAGAGGTCGAATGACAGTTTCTTGAGATATTATATGATTATTTCATATAACAATGTACTGGCAATGTAAAGTTGGCTAAATGTGTTTGTAGTCTACGCTATCAGACACAACGGATTAGTTCCCACACACAGAGTTTGCCTAGTCCCAGACTGAAAAGGATGTTGAATAGAGAATCTCTATTGCCTGTGCTATTTTATCCAGAACTGGGCTTAATCTTTGCCTGGGAAACCAGCTTAATGTCCTTTATTGCATTCAAACAGTGGGGCCAGTATGTGTGTTTGGAGTCTTGCCTTTAAATGCTTTCCAACCCTCCTTCTGTTCTTTCATCAAGTCAACTTTTACTTAATCCATAATAAATATCAATTTCTGAAATATCCATACACTGATGAATGCTGTCCGTTCGCTTGATATTCCCTCTGTCGTCGGTTCAACCTGAGCAGCTGACTCAGCGCTTCCTTTCAAAGAAGACACGTTGAAATTCAGAAATTCTCAAATCTCGCACTGAAGCCAAAGTCAAAGCGCCGTCTTTTCTTTCTGTCTTCCTGGGACAAAAAAGAAAAGATTCATCACATTTTACATTTGCATCAAAATGACACTGGCACCATACGTCTCCCGAGGCGGGAGGGATGGCTGGAAGGACAGAGAGAGAGAGAGGGAGAGAGAGAGGAGGAAAGAGAGAAGGAGAGGGAGGAAGGGGTTAAGGGGGAGGACATAATTTGAATGGATAAAGGTGTGGATTAGTGCTAGAGCCTTTAGCTATATCAAAAAAATGTGTTTCCCATTGTTCTCCTTTGCCTCAACCCTCTTCCCCCAGCCCTGGTCCAACTCATTCAACCGTTACTGCGGCGCTCGGTGCGTGTGTCTGTGTGTGTGCGGTGATATCTTCCCTCCCTCTTACTGCTCAGGCAGAAAACACACTAATATGTGGGCTGCAAGTGAGGTTTGAGTAAATAATGCATATGACTAACTCTGCTCTCTTGTTAATGAGGGAATTTTCTGCACACTCATTTTGGTGAGCTTTTCATGGCTGTGCTGTGTGAGCTGTGCTTTTGGTTTATGTTTGTGTGTTGGACCTTAACTAAACTAAAGCGGTTAGACACATGAGATGAAGCGGAGCACCTAAAACCCCCTTAACCTTGGTAAAAATCTCTATAATGCCCATCATGGCTTGTTGCTTGATAAAACACCAGCAATAGCAATATATGAGACATCAGTGTTCAATAAATGTGTTCATATTAATAATCTAAGATAACATTAATTTAATAACATTATTACAATTTCCAATACATTTTCTTTTGGTTAATAAGCATATTGATATTATTAATAAAACCATGTATCAATACTATCTTAATATACACTACCATTCAAAAGTTTTGGGTCAATAAGATTTTTTTTTCACTTGTAAGAAATTAATACTTTTATTGAACAAGGATACAATAAATGTGTAAAAACAAAATTGCTGTTCTTTTGAACATTCTGTTCATCAAAGAATCCCAATAAAGCATAATACAGTTTTCACAAAAATATTAAACAGCACAACTGTTTTGAACAATGATAATAATAAATGTTTCTTGAGTACCTAATCAGCATATTAGAATAATTATTAATTAATATGAATTATTTAAAATAATTACTCCACCAAATTGCCTCATTTTCAATATATTTTAGAGTTTTAAAAAAAATTATTATTATTACGAATTGATTAAAAGGAATAATATATAATAATAGTATTTTTTTAATATGAATAACTAACGATTATTCCACCATAACCATTTGCTTAAATATAGGCTGTTTACACTTGCCATGTATCTTAATTCAGCATTAATTCAGAATGTGTGGTCACAGGTGTGCTGTTATCTGCATGGCTTTAAAGCATCTCATCCATTCAGAATTTAGACCAGACCCTGTTTTATAATTCCTGTGTGTATGCCTCACATATAAGGTTTGATAGTGTTCATTTGTGGCTGAACAGACTGATTTTTGCACGTTTGTGAAAGGTATGTGTTCTTCTCTGTGTCTGTGTTACTAGTAACCAACTGACCGCAAGACAGGCATACGACGCTGGATAAGCATATATTCTAACTCTCTGTTTATCTTGCCTGGTGATATACAGCTCTCTATCTGTCTGCTCCACAGGTATTATGAGACAGGAAGCATCAGACCAGGGGTGATCGGAGGCTCCAAACCAAAGGTTGCTACACCCAAAGTCGTCGACAAAATCGCTGATTACAAACGCCAAAACCCCACCATGTTTGCCTGGGAGATCCGAGACAGACTGCTGGCAGAGAGAGTGTGTGACAATGACAGCGTGCCCAGCGTCAGCTCAATCAACAGGTGTGTGTGCATTGTAAAAATCATCCATTTAACTTGACACAAACATTTCTGTCTATTTGATGTCCATTTGATCAGTCGACTTCATCATCAGTAATTTAATTCACTTTGATTTTCTTAAAATATAAGGGGATAAAACATACGACTTTTAAGATTTTATTGGGTTGAAATAGTTTAAAGTGTGTTTTCTGAAATGTGTCTGTGGTATTGTTTCACTTTACTAATATGAATGAAGTATTGTACACTACTGTTCAAAAGTTTGAGGTCAGTAAGATTTTAATTTTTAATGCTTTTATTGAGCATGGGATGCATTAAATTGAACAAAAGTGACAGAAAAGCCATTTATAAAATTTTATTAAAAAATCTATTTCAAATAAATGTTCTATTAGTCAAACAATCCTGAACAAATGGGTAACACTTTACTTGAAGGGGTGTGCATAAGACTGACATGACACCTTCATAATCATGACATGACACATGTCATGAATATGAAGGAGGTTGTATGCATGTTTATGACAACTGTCATTAAGTGTCATTCGCTCAGTTAAGTCATTTTTAATGCAAATATGACATTATTTGACCTAACCCTAACCTAACCCTACCCCTACCCTTGCCCCTAACCATAGCCCATAACAAAGACATCTCAAACAATGTCATCTTTGCATTAAAAATTACATAACTGAGCGAATGACACAGTTGTCATAAACATGCATAAAAAAACCTTCATATTCATGACATATGTCATGTCATGATTATGTTGGTGTTATGTCATGATTATGAAGGTGTCATATCAGTCTTATGCACACCCCTTCAAGTAAAGTGTAACCAACAAATGTATCACAGTTTCCACAAAAGTATTAAGCAGCACAACTGTTTTCAACATGGATGTTTCATCATATTAGCATGATTTCTGAAGAATCATGTGACACTGAAGACTGGAGAAATGTCTGCTGAAAATTCAGCTTTGCCATCACAGGAATAAATTACATTTTAAAATATATTAATAGAAAACACTTATTTGAACTTGTATTAATATTTTAAATATTAATGTTTTAACTCTATTTTTGATCAAATAAATGCAGTCTTGGTGAGCATAAGAGACTTAAGACATAAGAGACAAACACATTTAAAAATGTATAACCTCCCCCAAACTTTCGAATGGTACTGTATACAGTATGTGTGCAAACCACTACATTTTTGAGAACAAGGTGATCAGTAGATTAGAAAAGTGATAGAGTAATGCATGGAGAAGAGATAGAAAGAATGCAGGAAGAGAGAATAGATAAAGGAAAACAACGGGACTGAGTCAGTGGAGTAAAAAGAAACACATATTCATGAGCAGTGTCCAGCTCACTGGTTCAACAGCATGTGTACAATGACAACCTTTCTCAGAGAGCGAGAGCAAGAGAGAAAGAAACAGAGGGAGGGAGAGAGAGAGAGAGAGCGAGAGAGAGAGAAAGAGAGAGAGAGAGACGAGGAGGAGAGGGGAAAGGTGCTTTGCTTGAGCAGCCATGCAGGAAGTTTGAGACTCTGCTGCCATGTCAGCCTGCATGAGCCATGTCCTGAAAAGTCACCTTCTCCTTGTAATACCTATGTCATACCCTTGTCATTATACAGATTTATGTCCTCATTTGTCACAAACACACACAAACACACACACACACACACACTTCACATATTTGCATACTTATATTGAAGCATATACAATATCACAGCACCTTGCATGGTAAACCTTAAACACATGGTAATGTCTGTTTGCTCCTACTTTGCTGCAGGATCATTCGCACTAAAGTCCAGCAACCACCTGGCCAATCAGGAGCTGTCTCTGCCCATAACTTAGGTAAGAGTCAACTTCACATATACTTTTGTCATATTTCAAACTACTCAAAATACAGAACTTTAGTTCTAGGTGGGAATATAGGGAGTAACATGTTTGGATTAAAAAAAGGAAAGAAACGTAGTTTCTGAAAAAAAGGTGTTGTCGTACACATCCCATTCAAATGTTTGGGGTCAGTAAGATTTTTTTTTTTTAAGAAATTAGTACTTTTATTCAGCAAGGACGTATTATATTGATCAAAAGTGACAGTAAAGATATTTATAATGTTAAAAAAGATTTTAACTTTCTATTCGTCAAAATGTTCATTATTCTATTGATCTATTCATCCATTTTATTCAAGGATTCTTTGATAAAAATTAATCATGGTTTCTACATGCAGCTCAACTTTTTCAACATTTATAAAACTCTGAAATGTTTCTTGAGCACCAAATCAACCTATTAGAATACTTTCTAAAGGATCATGTCAGGCTGAAGACTGGATAAATATATTAAAATATATCAAATAATATATTAAAATACAAAAAAATATTTTAAACTTTTTTTGTATTTCTGATCAAATAAATGATCAAATCTAAGCAGTTTGAGACATTGTTGAAGCATATATGAGCTCATTTGAGATCCCAGGAGAAAGTAAAAAGTAAAAAAGTTAAAGAAGTACTCATTTGCTCTCCATTTAATTTATTTGCTGAAGGTTTCAACATACCAGTTACCTTATAACACTTACGCAGGCAGGGCTGTGTCTCTCTTATACAGTGAGGGGAACTGAGATTTTAGATTTTTAAACATTTACTGTACTGTATTTCAATCTATCTTCCCTATCTTTAATGTTTGATTAAAACCTTGAATCTATACGGTTGTTCTGACACTCAAATGACCCCAAAAACCAAAGGGGAATCTTCAAAAATGGTCTGAGATCAGTTTTAGAGGAAAACTCCCGTTGGCAGTTAATAAAGTATTGAACTGCGCTTGTCTCACTGTCTGTAATCTTTATAATCGCACACCTCCACTTAATCTAAATTAATTTCACACGCACAACACTCGCCAGTTCTCCGTCTCCTTCAGATTATGTTGATAAATAGTTCTCATACTCAGGCGGAAAATTGAAATTTAGGGATTTTAAATATAAAGCGTTCGCTTCGGGTTTCCATTCCTTGACGCGAGGAGAAAAGTGCGAAAGAATAAGAGATTCAGATAATTGAAACGATAAATCAAGAGTATAAAAATGGAGGGATATGCATTCATTACATTTTCCACCTGGTTAGCAAACGAGAGCGGCGGGTGAGCAGAGGCGTTTATCTTTTCTCCGAGCGATTTGTTTTTCTTGTTTCCCACCTTCTCCATTTTAGCAGAGTCTGTTGGGATGTGGGATTAGCTTCATCTCTACACCTTAGTGTCCCCTTGGGGCCACTGTACTGTCACTCAGGCTGTACGTCAGCTGACAGGAAGTGAGATAAAGAGGAGAGAGAGGGAATGAAGGGTTGACAGAGAGAAGACTTTGTGGCCTCGTCCCCTACCGCCAAGACCTCACGGACAGCCAGACATGTCAAAAAGCTGTTAGCTTGTTAGCGTCTTATCCTTGGGCGGCAGCATGTTGCCAAAATTGAGTGACAGCAGGTTTTGGTGAAAGGTCTTTGGCAGGAAAAACGCCAGGCCAAGAACCATGAAAGGAAAATGAACAAAACTCAAGAACATACTACACATAAACAAATGACATTGGCCTGGAAGCTTTAAGCGAGCAAAAGCTATAATCACAGAAAACCCAATACAATCAATATTAGGAGACATTTACACAGCTACATATTTTCTTAGTCCATGCATTACCTGGAAATTGAACCGATGACTAAAATGGACTAAAATAGGGAAGATAACTACTGCAAAAAAAAAAAAAAAAATATCTGGAAAAGAAAGCCTTAATAAAGACATAGTTGACACAACTATTATAATTCTATTATTACTTACTCGGGGTGTTGTTTTTCCAAATCTGCGTGACTTATTTCTTCTTTGAAACATTGACTTCCATTGTATTTCCCAAGTCAATGGGATCCGAAACTATCCCTTTAAGTATTTTGGCGGTTTATTATTTTATTATTATTATTATTATTATTAAAGGGGTCATATGATGCTTTTTGGGTCATATGGTCATATGATGCTTTTTTAAAGATCATTATTTTGTGTATTTGGTGTAACAGAATATGATGACATGCTTTAAAAACACATTTAATGTTCAAAAAACACATTATTTTTCAAATACTGTACATTATTGTAGGTCCTCTATGCCCCGCCTCTCTCAAACGCTTCGTTTTCTACAAAGTCCCTCCTTCCGACAAGCGCAGTCTGCTCTGATTGGCCAGCTGACCCAGTGCATTGTGATTGGCCGAACACCACAAGCACTCGTCGGAAATGTAACGCCCCTTACCATAATCGCGAGCTTCATCTTTCAAAATAAATGTAAAGACAGAGCCCGAAAGGGGAACAGAGTCGCGTGACAGACACAGTGATGAAGCTGGTATGTGTTTGCAGTACACAAGCCACGGTTAAGACAGCTGACTCCACTGTGATGTGTCCCCCCCCCCCTCTCTCTCGCTCTGTCTCACTCGCTCGCTCTCTCGCTCTCTCTCTCGCTCTCTTTCTCTCTCTCTCTCACGCTCTCTCTCTCTCACTCGCTCGCAGACACACACACACGATGCGCAAAACTCCGCATTTGAACAGTCAATAGCAAATACTTAAACTAATAACAAAACAGTTGCTGATTCAGAAGCGCCAGATTGTCATAGCAAAGTCAGAATTACCTCCTCTCCTAGGTTCACGAAACGGTCGTCCATAAAATGCATTGCTGTTCTGTTGTAAGTAATCTTAAAGATTCCTAAATGCATCTACTTTCGGAAGGCCAAATAAAGTGCTTTTGCTTTCGTCTAGAAACACACAGCGTCTCCCTGACATGGCTGCTTCAACACTAACTGCGGTTACTGAAACCACACCTTCTTTCTTTGCGTGCACATTTGGGCGGCGTTATGCAAATATTTCCACATAGTGAGGTAGATATGTGGGGGCGTGTTAGAACGAGCCGTTTTAGGGGGCGTGGCAGAGTCTTAACTTTAATAAAGAATATCTCTTTGGTTTTGAGACTTTAGTCTTTGCAACTTTACAGATCTTCTTTATGCACCAAGAACTTGTAACACTCCAAAGAGAACGGAAAACTTGAAATCGCATCAAATGACCCCTTTAACAGTTTTATTATTTTTATAAAGAAAAAAAAATCACAAAACTGCCTCACATCTTTGTAATATTTTCCAAATCAAAGTTGTGTTGTGCATCCAAAAAAGTCATGTGGTACAACCATCATACAGACAAAAAAAATCTTAAAACAAGAAATTATATCATAGAAATGACCCCCGCAGAACATCAGGAATGTGTGTTAAGGTTTAGGCAAGATTAGTTTGAGTTGTAAAATGCTATTAATTAATTAGTTAGTTAATCATGATATTTAGCTTGGAAAAATATTTAAAATATGTAAAAACTTAATAAAAAATATTTAAAAACTGTATAATTGCCCAAAGTGATTGCCCTTTCAGTGCAATGAGCATGGTGTCCACCATGTTCATGTATGCTTTAGGACACTTCTGCTATTCATTAACCTCTCTGTAACTTTCTAGCCTCTACAGTGGCAGTGACCCAAGTATCTGCTGTAACCAGTGATGCTGCAGGCTCCTCCTACTCCATCAGTGGAATTCTGGGAATTAGCTCACCCGCCGACGCAAACAAACGAAAGAGAGATGAAAGTAAGTCCATATGCATGCTTTGTTTTCGGGAACTGAAAAAGCCTAGTTTATTTGAACATTTAATTCTACACCAAATTCACTCTAAACTTGACCTAAAGTATTATTAATGCTGTTGCACAACAAATGGAATTTATTTCATGCAGGAAATTTTGTAACTACCAGCAATTACAGAACAAACATTCAATTACATCCTGAATTAAACCTTCTTTCTTTCGTTCTTTATTTCATTCCTATGCACAACATCATTTTAATGCACTCACACACATGCACACAAGCACAGAGAGCACAGATGGAAGTTGCTGAACATTGACAGATGCATCAGAGTAGGAGGGGGATTGTTCACCGCTGGTACGTCTTAGATGAACATCTCTATCCAGGGGAGGCACAGCATGTGCATGTGGACGCGCACGCATGTGTGTTTGCACACATGTGTCTATTAAAAAGCCATTGCTTGGCAGACCCCTGCAGTACATGAGGGAACTCCAGATGTCACCCACATACACTCACACACACAGCTTGACTTATACCAGACATCAACAATAGAAGACTCCTTTCTATTTGCTGCCCAGGGTTATTTCAGATGAATCTAAAACTGAAACTAAAATTAAAACCATAAAAAAAACATTAGCAATAAATAAAATAAAAAACAATAAAATACACTTTTTCAGAAATTTTCAGCTAGTTGCCAACAGTTCTCATTTAATTTGATGCACTAAAGTTTAATTTGATGTTCTAATATAACTAAAACGGAAAGACAAAATTTACATATATTACCCCCCCCCCAAAAAAACAAAAAAAACAAAAAACAAAATATAAACGAAACTAATAATGACAAAAACACACAACAAAACTACTAAAACTTTAACTAAATTAATATTCATATACTGAACATTTACGGTATTAGCTGTGGTTGCTAGAACCCTACTGTAAAAATTATGGTAGCAACATTTTAGGCTTAAAGGGATTGAATTTAAATTTACAGTAAAGACAAAACTGTAAAAATTTAATTAACTAATATAATGTTAATATGAGATCTTGCTACTCTGTTTTGTATCTGTAAAATATACTGATAGCCACTATAATAATATAAGCGGTAAAAGAGACAGATGTTGAATTAGAT